TCTCCAGAAAAAAAAAAAAAAAAAAAAAATAGAAATCACTATAGGCTATCTGCTTTGGGGACTGGCACCTGCAAACTTGGTCATGCTTTCCTTTTGGCTAAATATTTGTTGTTTATCTTAAAGGCTTTGGGAGAAATAAGACTGGAAAGATCTGTTGCCATGGTGGATGTTTTATTCAGCCTTTTTTCCAATTGAAGGTGTTTTGTTTTTTGTCATCGGCGCCACAAGAGGGTATGCAAGGATATATTTTTTTTCCAGAAAACACCTGTCTAGGTTGAAGGTGGGTACATCACTTCAAGTGATCTGGTGTGTTCTTGTTTTATTGTGGTAGTTGGTTAATTCTTTATTTCTTTTGTTTGTTTCCATAATTTAATAGAGCTAAAAGGGTAGGTACTACTGAATGTGGTATAAACAGAGGTTTTTAATAAGCCAAGTCATATGGTAATATATGTAATTATTGGGAACAGTCAAAGGCTTAATACTGTAGGTCGTTGAGATATTTTATTATCAGTTGTTCTGAATTTGTTGAATTGAAAGTGGTTTTTTTTATTTCCATGGTATTTATAAGTTTCATATGTTATCTTAGAGAAAATCTCATTAGACCTTCTAGCATATTTGGCATGTAGTGGTAATCTAAATAATTGTTTGCAAATTTAGCATCGCTATGTGGTACACTATGAAATGTTATTTTAGCTGATCGGTAATTAAATAGAATGACTCCGCTTTTGGACACTTAGGAGTATTTTAAAAACTCCCCATATGGAGACCAAAACCAGCAATGATTTGCCTCTATTCATGATTAATGTCTGACAGCGATTGATTAGCTTATTTGTTTGTGCCATAGGCCTCCACTGATGTTCAGAAACAATTGAAAACACATTAGTGAAACATACCTCTGCACTGGTTGACATGTTTCTTCATTATGAAATGTCTGACCCTGATATACTTTTTAAAATGTTGCCCAAAAGGCTGAGAATGACCATAACGTTTTAGAGAATCTGAAGTAAACAAAAGTCAAGAGCCTATGCACAAGATCTTTGGATATTCTTAACAAATATTAGTGTCTAGTGATTCATAATGAGGAAATATGTCACTAACTGCAGCAGTGTTTTTCACTGATGCGTTTTTAATTGTTTTTGAACAACAATGGCACAGATAAATGAGCTAATACAGGACAGACAGACTGAGCAGAGGCAAACCATTGTTGTTTCTTCTCTGTATGGATAGTGTTGAAAATACTGTTAATATAGACAATGAACTGCATTATTCTTTTAAAAAATGTCATGGAGCCAATGGTAGTGGGTGGAGTAGTCCTATTCTCAAATATAATTTCAGTCTGTTTAGTAATTGCTTATTCTCATTTGGGCTCCTGTTTTTTTTTTCTAAGCTTCCCGTTCTTCTGAGTTCAGTGCATGCAGCCAAATGGAGGTGGCATCACAGCTGAGTCTATATTGGTGGAGCTGAGCTCAGCCAAGTGAGGTGACAGAGGTTACTCTGCTTCTCCTTACTGAGGAGGACTGGCATGCCATCACAGCGACCAACCATATGAGAGTGTTGCTGTGTGGATCCCTTTTGATAGGCTAATGTTGCCCTTTTAGAAGTGGTGGTTTATAGCATTATTGGCTTGAGAGGAATTGGTTTGGGTTTTAAAAATAGTTGTGCCCCAAACAAATACAGGGTACACACTGCATCAGGTTATTTGTGAAACGGTATCTACAGAGTGTACCTGAAAGAAGCAGAATGCCAGCAAGTGTGGATGAATTGGTTGTTTTCAGACAGAACTTAATTTTTTTTATTATAGAAGTAAAAGCAAATTTTAGTCAAACATTGCCTAATATATATTTTTAATCATATTATAGTTCTAGTCTTTCTGTGATTACCGTGGCAAAAAGCAGAGATTCCACAATCACACTGAAAGAAGAGCGGAAGGCATGGGAGACAACAAACCTAAAGGAGTAGTAGCAGCTGCGAGTAAGTTCTCTTCTCATGCAGTGCTGTACCTTTCAATGTGTTTCTTGCAATTTGAATGAGAATTTAGATTTTTAATGTTGTGCATATGTGGTTGTGTGCCAGAGAACAGACTGCAGGTGGTGAAAGGCTTGAAGGATGTGGAGGTCTCTGAGTGCGAGAGCTGCTCCTTTGAGGTGACTCTCAACTTGGCCTACATAGAGGGTGTGTGGACCAGGGATGGGATGCAGCTTAAGTCTAAGCCAAACTGTCGTATCAGCATGCATGGCAGAAGACACTCCCTCATATTGACTAGGGCGGCTATAGGAGATGCTGGCTTGTTCTCTTTTCAGGCCAATGGAATTCAGACGTCAGGCCGACTCAGTGTCAGAGGTAAGCAAATACAATGGACTGAGCTACTTTCAGTATTTCATTCTGTGTCCATGTGCCTAAGACCTGAACAAGGCTTAATTGTTTAAATAATGGGATCTCTTTATAATATTCCTGATTATACCAAACCAGCATACCATATCACCTGAGGGAGAAACTAGATCAATTATTAATAAATAATAATTTAATAAATTAATAATACAATAGAATGTAATGTGTAAAGTAAAGAGAAGATCATATACATTGTGTAGTCTAACTTAATCTAACAGGGAAAAGAGGTCTTAAATATCAAATATGTTACTAGTCTGATTTTTATTCATGCTAACAGCAAGGCTCAGCTGTGTGGCATGCTAATGATAGCATTTAGCTCAGAGCACTGCTGTGCCTACATACAGTCTCACAGAGACATCATCATGGCTGGAGACTTAAGCTTAAGTCTTGTTTTAGCACTGTAACACTTTCAGTATTTTTCAGCAGCGACATTAGAGCCTTGTCACCTTTCTGAATAATGAAGAAACACTGAAACATTTTGAAAAGTCTTAGAAATAAGTCAAAATGGGGGTGTCAGTGTCTGTCAAGCAGATTCATAAAGTTCTATCTCGATGCTTTTACTGAGTTTATAGTCATGGTCTGGTTATCTCCTGCCAGTTAGGGACATCCACATAGTGAAAGAGCTGGAGGATGTTGACACAGTGGAGCGTCAGCCTGTGAGCTTCATGTGTGAGGTCAACCAGGTGGATGTGGATGGTCGGTGGTATAGAGATGACAGCAGGATCCGACCTGGAGACAACATCAAGATCAGACACCAGGGCAAGTGTGATCAAACACATGGGCTTTACAGAAACAACAGCCTGAGGAATATAAATACTCCTTGGTGTTTGCTTCAAGTTTGCAAAGAAACATTGAATGGGAATAAATATAAAACACGACTGAAATCAAATAAATAAAAAATAAAGCATATTGATCTGATCTGATTTCAGGTAAAACTCACACCCTGTTTTACAAGTCAGTCAGGCCGGAGCATGCTGGAGAGATCAGATTCACTGCAGAGCGTGTCTCATCCTATGCAACACTCACAGTAAAAGGTGAGCCACTCGACTGTTTATGACACAATATACAGTAATGTGGATTTATGGAGGGAGTTCATGTCTGACCACATTTGGTTACTTAAGGTTTACAGCCTGTTCCTCCCTTCTTCAGAGCTCCCAGTCCAAATAGTGCGTCCTCTGAGGGTCAAGATAGCCATGTATCACCACCGGGGTCTGTTGGAGTGCCAGGTGTCACGACCCAATGCTCAGGTCAGGTGGTTCAAGAACAGGAAAGAGCTCCTGCCCAGTAAGAAGTACCATCTAATCAGCCAGGATATCTACAGGCAGCTGATCATTGATGACATCTGCTCCTCAGATGAGGACATCTACATCTGTGATGCAGGAGATGACAAAACCTCTTGTCAGCTTCTGGTGGAGGGTGAGATGCTTGTTGTCACAGTAATCATAGCAGTCACAGTGTTAGGTTTATGGCCAACTGTATGGTATGTTTTGCATTCACAGACCTATACTTTAAAAATATTTACTGCATTATGACCACAAAAAGCACACACAAAAAGCATAAACATGGTTGATGCACATGTTTCCAATATGCAACTATACAATCAGAAGTATTTATTATAATGTTATGAGTCAGGAGTGACTTCAGTAGTTCTCGTGTGCTATACATGCAGAGCAAGCCATCACCATAGTGCAGGGAATGAACTCAGTGGAGGTGCAGGAGCCAGAGCCAGCACTGTTCCAGGTGGAAACCAGTTTGAAGTCAGTGAGGCCTCCAAAGTGGACCCTGAACGGTGAGGTGTTGGAGCCATGTGCAGCAGTGAACATTGACAGGGAGGGCACCCTCCACAGCCTCTGTCTGACATCCACAGACACCTCCATGTCCGGCCCTGTGATCTTTGTAGCTGGAAAGAGTCGTTCCACTGCTTTGCTTACTGTGAAAGGTGATTATCGCTGAGTATGTGAGTATTATCAACACGGAAAAGTTTGCTGCATTGACACAGAAGGGTGCATTGTCAAACATAATGGTAACTTAAATTATATTGCTTTATGGACTTGGTATTCAGAACAAAACTGAGAAAATATCCTGGTAAAATGTCTTTTTTGTACAGTAATAATGCAAAAACTGATTTTGAGTAAGAGCATCTCTTTTTAGACTTTTATCCTGCTTTATTCCTTTTCAATATTATGACATATTACATTTGTATGCCTCTAAAAAGGAGACAGTAGAACCTTTTTAGGCATGTCTCTTTACACAAGCACTTTATCTGTTCCATCTAGAGCGACCTCTTCAGATTGTCCACCACTTAGAAGATGTGGTTGCAAAGGAGAATAGCTCTGTGACTCTGAGCTGTGAGTTTGCCCCTTCTCCCAGGGTGGTGCGATGGTTTAAAGGTCGTACAGCTCTGAAGACCTCAAACAAGTACAGCATGAAGAGAGAAGGGAAACAAGCAGAACTGATCATTCATGGCCTGGCCGGGATGGATTCGGGGCAATATCGCTGCATGGCTGGGGGTTCACAGAGCACAGCACATGTTAAAGTGGAAGGTAGGTTCAACATGGTCTAGGGAAAAGTGAGGTAAGAAGTGAAGTAAAACCCTTTTGGTATTGGATATAGTGTATTTGTTTATATTTGTATTATACTGCATCTTTATATTAGTTTTGTTATTTTGTTTGTATGATTAGTTGTGTCTTTTTACTAAAGTACGAGCACTTAAGTTGGTCAAACACCTTGAGCCAGTGGAAATTGAGGAGGATGGCATCGCGACCTTCTCGTGTGAGCTCAACTATGTGGTCGCCAATGTGCAATGGCTCCTCAACAATGTCCGCCTCTATTCCAACGCCATAAACCGGATCCAGCACATGGGTACAATGCACAGTATCACAATCAAGAAGTTGCGACCACAGGAGAGCAGGGTCACCTTCAAAACGGGTCTTCTCTCTGAGACAACCACCTTAAAGGTCAAAGGTCAGCTATGGGAGTAACTGAAGAGTATGATTAGAAGTTTTCCTGATACTTACATTTTCATTTGTTCAAAAAGGCTTTAGCTAGCGCGGTCAAACTAAAGAAGGTTGCGCTCAACTTTGTGAATTTCTATTTGTTTATTTATGTGAAAGATGAATAGCATTATTGAGTTGAGGCTGGGCCTTGCTTGCAGAGAGTCCAGCAGTTTTTCTTAGGTCTCTGGAGGATGCAGTAGGAGAAGAGCAAGGGGACGTCTGTCTGCAGTGTGAAATCTCTAAAGAGACAGTGGCCCCTGTTTGGAGAAAGGATGGTATGGTGCTGACAGCTGATGATAAACATGAGCTGCTTCAGTTCGGGAAGTCCATGACACTGATTATCCATTCACTGAGTAAGGATGATGCTGGACAGTACACCTGTGACCTGGGCACCAGCCAGACCAAGGCTAAAGTTACAGTACATGGTGAGTAGCAGGGAAAATGTTGTTTGTTATGGAAGAGCACTACAACTTGTACATGCTGTGCTCATATTAAGCTGTCAGTGCCACCAAATGACTGATAGAACAGTGAACCTCGGATAATGTTTATCCTTAAAACATACAAAAAGGCACTTAGGAATTAGAGCATAGAGAAAGTTGGATGTTGTTCCATCATAAAGATGTCACGGTATCATTTTCTGTGGTTTCCCCTTATTGGTACCTGCTAAGATACACTGTATTTAGTGCAATAAGCCTGTTTTTTATTTTACTCATCTACAGACCTACACATCACTATTGTTCAGCGTTTGAAGACAATCTCTGTCCTGGAGGGTGAAAACTGCACTTTTGAGTGTCTCCTGTCTCACATTATCGATGATAAGCCTTTCTGGACAATCAATGGTCAAGAGGTGGCCACCAATAGCCGTATCCAGGTTATCAATAATGGCCGCAAATATGAACTGACCATCAGAGATGCTATACTGACTGACGCTGGAGACGTGATCTTCACAATTAAAGATCTCAGCTGTAGGACCATGCTCTTTGTTAAAGGTAAATACTTGGATGTGTTTGTATCCATACAATATGTATGTGGAGATACATCTCTGTATTTTATTCTGAAAAAAATTTTATTCTGTATTTGCATTTATACAAAAAGGCTAAGTGCATTTCCCCTTCTTTAGAAAAGCCGGTGCACATCTTCAGGGACCTGCTGAATGTCAAGGCAGTGCCAGGTGAGGATGCAGAGATGAGCTGTGAAATTACCAAACCACAAGCCACAATCCGCTGGCTTAAAAATGGCCGTCAGATTAGGCAGAGCCTGAAGTATGAGATGAGTGTGGAGGAGAATTTGGCACGGCTGGTAGTCAAGAATGCAGCCATCAGAGACTCTGGGGAGTACTGCTGTGAGGCTGATGGCATTGCCACCCGTGCCAGGCTTGAGATCAGAGGTAAGTGAGACTATTCAGAATTTATCTTAGTTGATAACAGTTAATGGTACAATGTGATGTTTTTACTTTAGTCTTTAGTGCACATCGCTGCTGTCCAATGTTATGTCTGATTTTGTGATGTAGATTGGTGACTGCAGTACAAAGTATGAAGGTTGACTGTATTTTTTGAACTTGAATATCCCTCTCAGAACTCCAGCACACATTTGCTCGGGAGTTAAGGGACACACGAGCAGAGGAAAAGGGTAAAGTGACCCTGGAATGTGAGACCAGACAGCCAGCCAAGCGTGTGACCTGGCTAAAGGGCATGGTGGAGCTGAGGTCCAGTAGGAAGTATATCATCAGGCAGAAGGGCGTGGTGCTGTCGCTGACCATCACCTGTCTGGAGAAATCGGACACGGATATTTACACATGTGACGTTGGCACCATGCAGAGCCGAGCACAGCTGGATGTGCAGGGTGAGACCATAGTCTTTGGTGCACAAACTGTCATATCAGTGTGGTTTAGGGGTGTTCATTTAAGTTCAGCTGGGGACAAATGGTAGTTCTGGGCCACACCAGAATGCATCTTTATGCTAATTATCATTTCAGTGGTAGGAGGAATTCTGGTGGTGCAAAGTACACATTCATGTTAAATAATAACAGCACAATAATACACAAAAAATGCTGCTCCCTGCCCATTATAATCTTGACTTCAAGGTCATCAATCATTCAATTTATTTATACGTATACAATACGAGCAACTGCAATATTTTGACAAACAGATGCTGTAGGAGCATAAATTATAACCTTAATTTTGGCAAAAGATTTTAGCCGATTATGTATACATAATCGGCTAAAATCTTATGGTCCCTAAACATAATGCAAACAATTTACCATTAATGAGTATTGTATAATGCTGAGCAAAGTACAAAGGATGTTGATTAAGGCTCCTAGTACCTACTGCATGGTGTTCATGGGATTTTTGACTATTCTGCCTTTTGCTGTTTCTCCCAGGTCCAAAGGTTCTGATTCTGGATGAGTTAGAAGATGTTATGTGTCTAGAGGGTGACACAGTCACATTCAAGTGTCAGATCTGTCCCAGTGACTACATCGGGGTCAAATGGTATCTGGACGAGACCCTGCTGTATACCAATGAGCTCAATGAGATCCAAATGCTCCCAGGGGGCTACCACACCCTCACATTTAAACAGCTTGCCCGCAAAGACACTGGCACTATTTTATTTGCAGCCGGGAACAAACGATCATACGCCTCACTGTTGGTTAGAGGTGAGGCTTGAGTTATGTCGGAGTTTTAAAAATGTGTACTTTTATGCCTTGTTTAATTTGGTCTTGATTTGACTTCATCTCTTCTGTTGCCAGAGAGGCGTCCCACTATCATTAAAGCACTGGAGGACTGTGAGGCTATTGAAGGAGGTGGTTTGCTTCTGTCATGTGTGACCTCCAAACCGTGCCACATCCTGTGGTACAAAGATGGCTGCCTGATGTGGCACTCCTCCAGATATTTTGCCAGTCGTTCTGGCTGTGAGGCACGGCTGACAATTCGGGAGGTCTGTAACAATGATGCCGGGGTGTATGAGTGCAGTGCTGGATCTGTTACGACCAGGGCTGTTGTAACTGTCAAAGGTATGGATAGAATTCAAAGTGTTTATTTGTCATATGCACAGTTAGGAAACGTGTTTCCCTGTACAATGAAATTCTTACTTTGCCGTCCACATGAATGCCACAAAATGAATTGTTGTTGTTCTTCAATTCTGCGAACTGAAAATGAAGAATTGTTTCAAGGGTTTCATTGCTCAGCGTGAACTAATGTTAATGGAAAAGATTTGGGACAGATTATTTTGGATTAGCCTATATAGGAAACAAAATGTAATTAGTAAAGGTGTCCCCTCTTTGTCATCTTATTTTAGCCATCCCAGCAGAGTTCACCCAGCCTCTAAAAGCTGTGGAGGCCAAAGAAGGAGAGACTGTGACACTGACCTGTGAGTACTCTCTGCCTGGGGTCCAGTTCCACTGGCGGAGAGGTTTTGAAAGCCTCAGGCCTGGAGACAAGTATGTGATGAAACAAAGAAAGACAATAATTTCTCTAACCATCAAAGCCCTGAAGCCTGTTGACTCTGGAGAATATATCTGTCAGTGCCGAGATCACAAAACTACAGCAAGTCTTAAAGTGCATGGTAAAACCCATATGATTCATTTGTAATCACATTTTACCATACCCAGTCTTACTCTTTGAAAATCAAGTTCATGTTAATTTTAATTAGTTCATTTATTTAAAATGACATTATTTACCTGGCCCTTGTTTACCCTGTTTATTAAATGCTACCTCTTACTTTCCAGCTATCCCTATTTCATTCATACAACAACTGAAGAACATGCAAGCAGAGGAGGGCAGCAATGTCATATTGCGCTGTGAGCTGTCCAAACCTGGAATACCAGTAGAATGGAGGAAGGGACATGAGCTGTTGAGGAGTGGGGTCAAGTACCAGATAAGGAAAAGGGAGACTACGTTGGAGCTTCTGATATGGAAGCCTGTGCCTAAGGACAGCGGTGTCTACAGCTGTGTGTGTGCTGATCAGATGACATCTGCCACTGTCAAAATCACTGGTAGGAAATAACTAATCAATAGGCTGATAAGTTGATAGATCTTAAGTCAGGTAATCTTTATACATAATGTTTATCATTATCAATATAATTATCATAGCATTATTAGTAGTTCATCATCAATAATGATCATTTATTATTATCATTGTTAATAACTGATGTTCACCCATGATTCCTCAGCTCTCCCAGTCACCTTCAAGCAGAAGCTGCGGAATGTGCTGATTGAGGAGGGAAACATTGCGATTTTACGCTGTGAGCTGTCTAAACCTGGTCACAGTGTGCAGTGGAGAAAGAGGGGCAATGAACTAATTAGGAATGGTGAGAAATATCATATGAGGCAGAGAGACATGCTCATTGAACTGAGGATCTCAGATGTGAAACCCGAGGACAGCGATATCTACACATGCGTCTGTGGAAACATAGAGACTTCTGCGAGTCTCACTGTGAATGGTAGGGCTGATATTTTAAATTTCAATTTTCTTGTTACTTTAACGAGCCAAGACATCATATTAATAAATCATCACATTTACAAATGAAATAGAAGCTTACTGGTTCATCAAGTAATGGTACATATATATATATGTGACACTGAACAGTGCAAAATCATACAGCCAGTACAGAGCTGAAAATGTAACAATTAGAAATATGAGAGACATTACTGACACTCAATCATTTATGAAGCTGCTGCTAAATGTCTTTTTTACTACTGCAGTATCACCAAAAAGTAGGCTACTCATTCTTCATTAAACTCTTCATTTCAAAGGCCTGAATTATTCAGTTCCTTTCCATGTCCTAACTTTAACATTACCTCTTAGCTCTTCCCATTACCTTCAAGCAAAAGTTGAAGAATATCCAAGCTGAGGAAGGACACAACATCACACTGTATTGTGAAATTTCCAAACCTGGTGTCCCAGTGGACTGGAGGCTTGGAGGAGATCGGCTGGAAAACGGAGAGAAGTATCAGATGAGGCAGAGGGACTCGGTCTTGGAGTTGACCATCAGAGATGCTGTCCCTGAGGACAGTGGAGTCTACAGCTGTGTGTGTAGAGAGCAGAGGACAAAGGCCACTGTTAAAGTTATTGGTATGTTTGATGTGTACAATGTGTGCGGTGACGCTAATTTCCTGCATACACTGACCCCTTTTTTAAAGTCTGTAAAGATGTTCTTGCCTGAATTCTGCTTTACATGTGTATAAATAGTGTCTTTGTCTGGTTCAACAGCGGTCCCTGCCACCTTTAAGGTGAGCCTGAAGAGTCAGGAGGCAGACGAAGGGAACAGTGTGACATTACAGTGTGAGCTATCAAAGCAGGGAGCCGCAGTACAGTGGCAAAGAGAGGGTCAGGTGCTGTCTGAAGGGCTGTCGCGAGGAAAGTATCAGATGAAGCTTGAGGGAAAGACTGCTCTGCTGACCATTCTCAACATCCAACCGGAAGATGCAGGGAAGTACAGCTGCCTCACAGGAAACGAGAAAACCACAGCTGAAATTAAAGTGAAACGTAAGTTCAAAGACAAGTGAAAGTGCATTAGCCTACGGCCATGAACAAGATTTTCACTATTGTTGGTTGTATAGGCTTTGCTCCACATATAAGGTAGTTATATTGGATTGAGACAGAAGCATTTTGATAATAATACCTATAAGGATTTTATTATGATATAATTTTCCTTGGGACAGACTTTAATGTTTTAGTTGTACTAAGGTGCTGTTATTTGACAGCATCTCCTTTTCAAAGCATCATGTACCTGTCACTTAGCAAGAGATAACCACGGATCTCATTAGATTTCAAATGCATATGTTTGTTTAGTAGAGTGTAAAATCCAAAATCCCATGCCCATGACAACAAAGTGTGCTTTAAGGAGAGGAGGAACAGAAAAATATTTTAAGTAGGAATGGCAGAATGTAGGTCAGTGCAATCGCTGAAACAAAACATTTCTAACAGCACTTCCTGTGACGTTCAAACGAGAGATCCAGCACCTGGCGGTGAAGGAAGGGGACAGTGGAGTTTTCTGCTGTGAGCTCTCCAAACCTGGAGCTCCAGTGGAGTGGAGGAAAGGCAGAGTCATCCTGAAGCCAGGAGAGAAATATGAGATGAAGCAGGAGGGACGTCTCACTAAACTGGTCATCAACAATGTAAAGGAGAACGATGCTGGGAAATACACCTGCAAGACTAATGACAGCCAATCAAACGCTGAGCTCACTGTTCAAGGTAAAACATGTCTAGGTCAGAAATTCTCATTGAAAAGCTTGTTTTCCGATTTCCCCCAAAATGTTCCCACAGTATTCAACAGAATCACAGACATCAAAGAGGTCAGCTTCCACATAGTACTATATAAAAACACAAATAGTGGGTATTATCACTATATACTGTCCATCCATCCATTATCTATATTGTTCATCCTGAAGAGGGCCACAGGGGGTCTCTTGCCTAATTCCAGCTGGCATTGGGCAGGAGCCAGGGTACACCCTAAACAGGTTGCCAGTCTATCACAGTGCTGACCTTTAGAGACAGACAACCACACTCACTCCTGCGGGCAATTAACAGTTGCCAGTCAACCTAAACTACATATGTTTAGACTGTGGGAGGACGCCGGGGTTCCCAGAGAGAACCCACGCAATATTCAACCTCCACACAGAAAGACACCGGGGTGGCTGAACCCAGCACCTTCTTCCTGTGAGGCGACAGCACTAACCACTGTGTCACCAGATCACCCTCTGTATACTGTAGTTTAACTAAATCTTTATTCTAGGCATAGCACAAGCTGTCAAGAGGATTCTTCATGTTGTTGCGCTGTAGTTTAACATTTTCTCTGGTTGTTGGCCGTTCACAGGTTTACCACCAAATTTTAAGCTCCCACTGGTCAACCAAGAAGCGACGGAGGGCAACAGTGTGGTTCTGCACTGTGAGCTTGACAGACCTGCCTCATTGGTAGAGTGGAGGAGAGGAGGTGAACTTCTGAGGAATGGAGAAAAGTATCAGATGAGGAAGAAGGACATGCAGGTGGAGATGAAGATTGCCAACCTCACTTTGGATGATGCTGGAGTTTACACCTGTGTATGTGGAGAACAGAGGACAACAGCTAGGATCACAGTAAATGGTGAGTATTCACTAGAGTAAGTTGCATTTTGTTGCTTTACTGCTTTTAAGAATATCCAAGGACCTCCCACATATACATACATATACACACATATATACTGTATGTATACATATTTATGTGTGTGTGTGTGTTTATTCACAATAAACTACTGCATAACATGTTAAAACAGTCGTTACACTTGATGTAAAAAAAAAAAAAAAAAAAAGCCAGTGTATATTAACTTAGATGATCCATTAGGAATTGTCAGAGCAAAGGAGAAATGTATCTTCATGAAAATGTTTTCCTTGATTTCATTGTTTGTTGGTCCTTTCTAGAACCACCCATCAAATTCCTTCAAGAGCTGAAGAATATTCAGGTGCAGGAGGGTGGTGGGGTGACACTCTGCTGTGAGCTATCCAAACCTGGCACTCCAGTGCAGTGGAAGAAGGGAAATAAAGTTTTGACCAGTGGAGAGAAATACCAGATGAAGCAGAGCGGCTCCCTAGTGGAGCTCCTCATCAGAAAAAGCCAGCCTGAGGACAGTGGCACATATAGCTGCGTTTGTGAAGACATAAAAACCACTGCCACCATCATCATCACTGGTGAGAGCCACTGTATTTTAGATTATATAAATATGCTTAGGCAATTTACACATTTGATACAGTATTTTTCAATGTCTCTCTGGTTTAAAATTCCTCAGCGATCCCAGTGACTTTCAAGCAGAAGTTGAAAAACCAGGAAGCTGTGGAGGAGGGCAGTGTGACACTGCGGTGTGAAGTTTCTAAGCCAGGAGTCCCAGTGGAGTGGAGGAAAGATGCTCAGACTCTGAAGGAGGGAGAAAAATATCAGATGAAGCAAGAGGGCAGGGTAGCTGAGATGCTGATTAGAAATGCAACTCTTACTGATGCTGGGGAGTACTGCTGTTCTGCTGGTACTGTGGTGACTTCAGCTGATGTCAGAATAAGAGGTAAGCTTTACTACAGCTGATTCAGATAAAAGACAGTAGCAATGAGGGACACTGTTCACTCAGAGATTTTGAGTCCTTACCAGAGTGAGACAGACTTTGCATTTCATATAAAGTAAATAGAGTAGATGCATTAAGACATCTAACATAAAAGAAGTATCTCCAATTTTGTATCCTTCTTTATTTGTTAATGTTTTTTGTAGCACTCCCTGTAACATTTAAGCAAGAGGTGGAGAATTTGGAGGTGAAAGAAGGGGACAGTGGAGTTTTCTGCTGTGAGCTCTCCAAACCTGGAGCAGCAGTGGACTGGAGGAAAGGTAGAGTCATCCTGAAACCTGGTTACAAATACGAGATGAAACAGGTGGGATGTCTCACAAAACTCACCATCAACAACATAGAGGAGAGTGATGCTGGGAAATACACATGCAAGACTCAAGACAGCCAATCAACTGCTGAGCTCACCGTCAAGGGTAAGATGGAGATCTTACAGTGAAAGCATAATTATAACTGCTTTTAATAAAGTGAACAAAAAGCCATGGTCTCTCTCCTTACAGCTCCTCCCATCACATTCAAGACAAAGTTAAGGAACCAGCAGGTGGAGGAAGAGAACAACTTGACACTGAGCTGCGAGCTATCTAAGCCTGGTCTTGCTGTTGAATGGAGAAAAGGAGAAGAGCTGCTGAAGAATAACTTCAAATACCACATTAAAGATCGAAACAGTATCATGGACCTGACCATCAAAAACACACAACTGGAGGACAGCGGGCTTTACAGCTGTAACTACGGTGATGTGAAGACAACAGCCAACATCACCATTACACGTAAGGAAGGACTGTAAATATGAGTAGGTTTGATGTTGCTGTTTATTTAAATTTAAAATTTTTATAGCTATGTAGTAGGATTTAAAGGGATACAAATAACAAACAAACAAACACTGGGCAGGTTGATGTAGCCAGTGACTGCTCATCAGAGAAGACAAACGATGGGAGAGAGGAGACAAAGTTAATGACATGGGATGGTGACATATATGACGGTTTTGATGGTGCTGGGGTGGAGGTGAGTTGTGCAGTTGTAGGTCTGAAGGACAAGCAGGATGAACTGAAATGATATTTATAGAATGGCAGTTAGTGACTGATTGGCTCAAGCAACACAGGCAGATACACTAGCTCATTGGTCAGATGCGGTGATGTCAGGATAGAAGGTGGAAGGACAGTTGACAGCATGGGAAAGCAGATGATGAATAGAAAGTGATCTGAAATTAAAAGCCCACGTCAATCCGCTGTGGAGAAGCAGAAGGTGGGAAAAGAGATCTTGTTGAACTTTAGGCTAAGCTTCAGTAGATGGCAACTGGACTCCCTTTTGAAAATAACCCCAAGCAAGTCTAGTTGCCATCTAATTGCACACCACAATCTAACCCAGCTTAGCATGAAATGCCACAGAATAAACTTTGAATTCTCACATCCCCAGCTATTCCACTCACCTTTAACATGGGCCTGAAGAACCAGGAGGCTGCTGAAGGAGGCAATGTGTCTCTTTGCTGTGAGCTGTCTAGGGCCGGGGTGCCTGTACAGTGGTGGAAGGGGGAGGACCAGCTCTGTCATGGAGGACGATATCAGATGACACAAAAAGGGAAGATTGCTGAGATGCGCATTAAAAACATCCAGCCAGAGGACGTTGGGGAGTACAGCTGTGTCTTTGGAGAGCAGAAGACAACGGCTGAAGTGAACGTGAGAGGTATTTGACATCTAACTTCTGAATTCTCAATTTAAAACTTACATTGCATTCAGGTTCATCGTTTCTTTTCCCTGGAGCATCTCTGTGGTAACATACTGTAGCTTTTTCAGTGGGTTTTTGTTGCTTTAAAAAAAATGCAATTTTCTGCTTTGCCACTTGCAGAATGTCTGTAAATTGAAGGGCACTATTTCCAACCCATTAACATGTAGGCTCAGATTTTGTACAATTCTTCAGCGGGGAAGCGTTACTCCCTGTTATCTTTAGTGTATCTTTGGTGTAGTCTTATGGGGAAGATATAAACATAAACCCTATGTTCACATGCTAATAAATGTAAGGCTGTGCTGCCCTTTTGTCTGCTCTCAGAAAGCTAAGCAGGACTGGGCCTGGCTGGTACTTGAATGACAGACCATATGGGAATACCAGGTGCTGTGGCTACACCTAGCCATTGGGGTCACATGAGCCAGTGCACTCTTTGTGCCAGATAAAATGGGGTGGGTTGCATTAAAAAAGGCAATCTGTGCTAACCTGTGACAGCCAAAAGATGAAGAAGATTCACATAATAAACTTGTTCCATGTGATTTGGCTGACTAAATTGCATTTACTCTACACTAAATGTTTGCATGATAATGTCAGTATTCATTATTTCAAGTAGAAAATGAGTTTTTGTAACATAGTATCTCCTATCTATCTTTTATCAGCGGCAGCATCTGTGTATTTTGAGAAGAACCTGGAGAACAAAGTGGTGATGGAGGGGAAACCTGTGCTGCTCTCTTGTGAAATTTCCAGTGCTAATGTCCCAGTTACGTGGAAGAAGGACAACACTGTGATAGAAGAGGGAGGCCGATGCATTTTAAAGAAAAAAGGCCCTACACACTCTCTGGAGATCAAGAAATTGCATCTGGAGGATGCTGGGGAGTACAGCTGTATCAGCAGAGGCAAGAGGACCACTGCCAAGCTGATCGTGAGGGGTAGGTTGATGCTACACTACCATTTCATTCCTTATTTATCGTTATATATATTTGGCTAATGATATACTTTTCAAAATATGTGGCATGAAAAGAACCAACAGGCCAATGGCAGCTAAGATGTTGTAACTAGATTCCATCTGTAAAGAGCCAGCCATATCTAACTCCTACTTCCTCCACAGAGTGCGTGAGGATTGTTAAAGAGCTGCAAGACATAATGGTCACAGCGGGAGAAGATGCAGTGTTTGTGTGTGAGCTGAGCCATGCAGATGTGAGCGAGGGCGTCTGGTGGCTGGGTTTCAGCCCTCTACAGAAAAACGAGATGAACCAGATGACTTGCCAGGGTCGCCAGCACCAACTGGTCCTCACCATGACAACACCTGAAGAGACAGGCACTGTGGCATTTGTCATTGGGGAGGAGAGGACCTCTGCACATCTGCTAGTTGTTCCTAAGCCCAAAGGTGAGCAGTAACATAAGAGATATAAAGTGGAAATATATATTTTTAATTACACCTTCTGCTGTGTACCTTCAGTTGTGATGTGGCCTATGATTTCCAATCATTAAGATACCCAACATTTGTATGCATGTGATTTCAAATTCCAGTTTTAATTGAGGAGAAGCCTGAAGATGTTGTGATCATGGAAGGAGAGACAGCCACCTTTTTCTGCACAATCTCTGACTTTACCTCTCCGGTTACCTGGCGACGCAACCATATTCCCCTTCAAAATGGTGATAAATATGAGTTTCGTAAGGAGGGAAAAGTCAACTTACTGCTTATCCATGATGTGGAGCCCCTGGATACCGGTGTATACACCTGTGATACAGGAGATATGCAGGGCAATGCCAAACTTACTGTAACAGGTAAACAGTGGAGTAGAAGATGAATTGACACATTCAAATGAACAAGATATAGAGATTGTAAAATCTGTGGTGTTACATTTCCCCACTTCCAAATATAATCTTAGATCACAGGACACAGACAGTATTTACAGCATTTGGAACAGAGATGGGAATGAAAATGTTTATATTCGGAATAGTTTGCAGGGTAAAATTAAATTAACGAACTTGGTATCACTGTAATCATAATTTTTTTGTTTTAACTAGTTTTTGTTTTTAGCATGTTTTAATCTTTAGTACTATTAACAGTTTTTTATAGCTTGCTGAAGATTTTATATATTGTTATTTGGTTGTATGTGTGTTTTATTGTCTATAACTTGTGATCTCGCTGCATTGCCAGACCTTCCTTGAAAAAGAGGTTGTAAACCTTACTGGTATTTTACCCTAGTAAAATAAAGGTTAAGTAACTGTGCTAACTGTTCTACCTGCTTTGTTTGAACAGTAATTAGTAATTAATAATAATACATTTTCTGATGAAATGTTCTTGTTATACCAAATGGCTCCAGTTCTGTCCTTTCTCTGCTGTTTTTCCAGAACTTCCTCCATTCTTCCAAGAGGAGTTGCAGGGTGTTGAAGTAGAGGAGGGAGGTTCAGCCTCTCTGTACTGTGAGCTGTCGAAACTTGGAGTGCCAATTCAGTGGAAGAAGAATAGAATGGCACTAAGAGCCAGCAGAAAGTATGAGATGAGGCAGAATGGCTGCTTCCTCCAGCTCCACATCAACAACCTCAAACTTGAGGACAGTGGCAGCTACTCATGTCAAGCAGGCAGCGCAGAGACCACTGCAACTCTGACTGTACAAGGTATGTGAAGCTAAAAATGTTCCTGCCATATTTTACTGCATCCGCCTACTCTCTGTCACAGAAAAGTAATGTTTGTCAGTTAAGGTATTTTGAATTGAACTTTATCAGTACATTTTGATCAGTACTGCATTCAGTATGTTCACATACTACCATCGAGCAATTTAACTTTCAGTTAATTTTCTGTGATTGTTTAAACCTAGCTTGAAATGCAAATACCGCATGTATTACGCAAAACTCAAATATAACAATAATAAGTTTTCTTTTTGTGGTGATTATAATAGTAAGATAATTTTGTCCCTCCTAATGCCAATTTCCTAGAGCTCCCTCCATTCTTTAAGAAAGAATTAAGAAATGTGGAGGCTGAGGAGGGAAGTGTAGTCTCCTTGTGCTGTGAGCTGTCCAAACCTGAAGTGTCAGTGCAGTGGAAGAAGAACAGACTACCTGTTAGAGCCAGCAGGAAGTATGAGATGAAACGAGATGGATATCTCCACCAACTCCACATTAAGGAGCTCGAACCTGAAGACAGTGGCAGCTACACATGTCAAGCAGGAAGTGCAGAAACCACTGCAAATGTTTCAGTGAAAGGTACATTTTTTTTAGATTTGCTTCAGTGTCAGCGTAATCAAAATAGCAAAAGTATACATGGTAATTTTCAGTTTCTTGTGATAATTAACACTTCCTGAAAATAAATATGAGTGATCCGGTGCAAACATCAATCATCTATTACAGAAGTAGGCAACAAAAACATTAACATAATTTCTACATCTTGCTCTGGCCCTTAAATGTCATAGTCTGAAATATTACTTCTATTAGACTAAAAACATTTTACGGAATTACTTTTTCACTTTTTACCTTTTACCCAGAGCTCAAACCATTTTTTAAAGAAGAACTGCAGAATGTGAAAGCGGAGGAGGGAGGCGAGGCCTCTCTCTGCTGTGAGCTGTCTAAGCCTGGGGTGTCAGTGCAATGGAAGAAGAACAAGCTGCCACTGAAGGCCAGCAGAAAGTATGAAATGAAAGAAGATGGCTGCCTCCTCCAGCTCCACATCATGGAGCTTACACCTGAGGACAGTGGCAGCTACACATGTTGCACAGGAAGTGTGGAGACTACTGCAATTGTGACAGTGAAAGGTCTGTGAATGTGGAAATCTACTGTACATGGTCACTTTTATAGTGTCAGCAAGATGTAACTCATGGAAACCTATTTTCAAATAACTACTTGTGATCAAATGAACTTGATGAGAATTAATATTTCACTAAGGAGCAAACATCATTTATCCGTCACACATATTTTCGGGATCTTATTTAGCTTTAACATGATAATGTCTTAAATGCTATTTCTGTTATATTAAAGCATCCCACTCTTTTACTCCCTAAACATGTTACACTTCCTAGAGCTCCCACTCTTTTTCAAAGATGAATTGCAGAATGTGGAGGCGGAGGAGGGAGGTACAGCCTCCCTATCCTGTGAAGTGTCAAAGGCTGGACTGTCAGTGCAATGGAAGAAGAACAGGCTTCTATTAAGAGCCAGCAGGAAGTATGAGATGAAGCAGGATGGCTGCCTCCTCCAGCTCCACATCAAGGATCTCAAATTTGAGGACAGTGGAACCTACACATGTCAGGCAGGAAGTGCAGAGACCACAGCAACTGTGGCAGTGAAAGGTGTTTATGTTTGAGAATTCTGACTATATCACAACAGGTTCATGTTTAAAGTGTTGCTTGCAACATTCTACTGTATATAATTACATTTTTCCTTACCCATTTTCTCAGAGCTCCCACCGTTCTTCAACAAAGATTTACAAAGTGTGGAGGCTGAGGAGGGAGGTGAAGCCTCCCTCTGCTGTGAACTGTCTAGGTCTGGGGTGTCAGTGCAGTGGAAGAAGAACAAGCTGCCACTGAAAGGCAGTAGAAAGTATGAGATGAAACAAGATGGCTGCCTCCTCCAGCTTTACATCAAGGATCTCAAACCTGAGGACAGTGGAATCTACACATGTCAGGCAGGAAGTGCAGAGACCAGAGCAACCATTTCAGTAAAAGGTGTGTCCATTGTGTGCATTTATGTAACCAACAAGTACTTTCCTGTGACTGTTTAAAGTTATTGGTATGTATTGTGTTGCTTATGTTGCAATCTCACTGTCTATATAGTGCCACATAGGTTTTGATACCTTAGGTATTAAAAGCACAGTTCTCTCCTGGTTATATCTTAAGCATTTTCTCATTATACTATTTAGGTTTAATTATAACACAATCAGAATCAGCTTTATTGGCCAAGTGTGTTGGACACATGAGGAATTTGACTCTGGTACAGCGGCTCTCAATGTGAATCCTTACTCATTTTTCAGAGCTTCCACTATACTTCAAGCAAAACTTAGAAACTGTGGAGGCTGAGGAGGGAAGTACAGCTTCTCTGTACTGTGAGGTATCTAAACCTTGCATGTCAGTGCAATGGAAGAAGAACAAGCTGCCACTGAAAGTCAGTAGAAAGTATGAGATGAAACAAGATGGCTGCCTCCTCCAGCTCCACATCAAGGATCTCAAACCTGAGGACAGTGGCAGCTACACATGTCATGCTGGAAGTGCAGAGACCAGAGCAACCATTTCAGTAAAAGGTGTGTCCATTGTGTGCATTTATGTAACCAACAAGTACTTTTCTGTGATTGTTTAAATGTATTGGTATGTATTTTGTTGCTTATATTGCACTCCCATGGTGATTGTAAAGTGCCACAAATGTATTGATATCTTATCTATTAAATACACAGTTCTCTCCTTCTGGTTATATTCTTATGCATTTTCTTATTATACTAAAGAGGTTTAATTATATATTTTTTAAACCTTACCCATTTCGCAGAGTTTCCACTGTACTTCAAGCAAGACTTAGAAACTGTGGAGGCTGAGGAGGGAAGTACAGCTTCTCTGTACTGTGAGGTATCTAAACCTTGCATGTCAGTGCAATGGAAGAAGAACAGTCTTCCATTAAGAGCCAGCAGGAAGTATGAGATGAAGCAGGATGGCTGCCTCCTCCAGCTCCACATCAAGGATCTCAAACCTGAGGACAGTGGCAGCTACACATGTCAGGCAGGAAGTGCAGAGACCACAGCAACTGTGGCAGTGAAAGGTGTGCAAATTTGGAAACATGCACGGCACATTTTGTCTTTCTGTATGTTCTGAATCATAGAAAGATGCTGCTTCGTGATTGTCTGAACTTTCTTGAGCTCATTGTCTTTTGCAACATAACAGTTTGCATCCATCCATCCACC